AGGGAAGCAGTTTGCCCACTTCCTGATAAAATTCTTTCCTCCTGGAAAACATATATACCTTCTTTTTCCCGTTTTCTTCATTGTGTGAGTTACGGTCTTCCCTGTCTTTTTTTCCTTGGTGTGTTTTGTGTCCATTTCTGATAATTTATTTCCACTATTGTTTGTGGAACTGCTCCCCTGTGCTCCTCTCAGAGCAGGATGAAATTGTGGGGGCATTTCCACCTCTTGCTTCCCTGGTATCCCAGGGGGAACAAACTACTGAGAGCTGCTTATTGTGAAAGAATTAAAACATTGCAGGGTACGCACGGCCAGGATGAGCACAGTCATCTGAGGAGTGTTTTGGAATAGATTAACAAACAGGCAGCTCGGAAACGGAGTGCGCGGGGTTGGAGCCGAGGGTCCCGCACCGGCCGCTGCCTTGGGGGTCCGGGCGGTGGCTGCTGAAAGCCCCGGCCTCGGTAGGTGCCGTTCCACTTGCTCAGGGCCGCTCGGAGCAGGCAGCTGCTGCCACTTCCCAATTTCTTGGTTGCCGGGGAAACAGAGCAGTCTGTTTCTGTGGAAATGGGAATTTGACTCTGTGGCTAGCCGCGCGGGGGGGGACAAACAGCCCCAGCGCTGCCCTGCCTGCAGCCTGCGCTGGCCATGCCTGCGACTGTGCGCGCGGGAGCACGCTCGCAGCAGGATGCAGGTATTTGCTAGGGCTAAATACCGATAAGTTAAAGGCCGTTTTCCTCTGGAAGTTTGCAAGCAACTGCTATGCAGTTTAACCCATTTTTTGAAGAGTAATTTTATCTTGTCCTCTGTGTAACTCGACGGATCTGAACCACAATGCATTAGGAGGAAAGTTTCTCTTCTTTAGCAGTTCATTTGAAGAGAATTCCTTAAATCTAGGAGAAAAGTGCGTCGAAAGCTTGACTTGGGAAAAAACAGATTTTTAAATATAAGTTTCCTGAACTGTATTAGTCCCATATATTTTGGAGAAAAAATAAATGAGGGTATTTGCTAAGGGCTGCTTT